GCCACATGCCATGTCAGAGTGCCAGGGTTCAAGTCCTGGCTTCACCTTCAATTCCAGCTTCTTGCTAATGCACACTCTGTGGGGACAGTGGGTAATGGCTCAATACTTGGGTCACTGCCATCCACATGGGAGACCCAAACTGAGTTCTGGGCTTCTGGCTTTGGCTTGGCTCAGCCCCACCTGTTGAGAGTATTTAGGGAGTTAACCAGTGGATGGGAAAGCTTTCTCTTGCTCTTGCTCTCTTAAAAACAAACCTAGCTGAGACCAACACACTGCCTAGCTAGAACACAGCCCCACCATGGTGCTAGGTGCAGTAACATGGAACTGCTTTCCAAAACACAGAGTAGCTGTGGCCTTCTGGGACCTGCTCATGTTCTAAGATGGACCTCCCTTACTGCTTGGAGAGGACTGGCTGCCAGGTGGCAGGTGCCATGGGAGGGCCACCTGCTTACTTCTCAGTACTACTTTTGTTATGGAAAATTTTAAGCATATGCAATAATAGTAAGTAAACACTCCTACCCATGGATGAACCAGACGGTAAACACAAAGTGTATATGTCTGTGATTAAGATGATGAGTCAAGCTACAGAGCTAGGTTTGCACACGTGTTCTGGTGCCATACTGACAGATGGGCCATTAGGCATTAACTCCTGGCAAGAATGAATAGAGAGACCTTGTTTGTTATCCCAGAAACCAGGAAGTTTCACAACTATCTGTCTAGGCTTGCCAGGGCATTCTTTAAAGCTTACATGAAAGGCATATACCCATCATGGGAATAAGCCAGCAGACAGGACACCACGGTGGTTAGGAGTAGAAGTTTGAGTCAGGCACTCTGGAGGTGAGCCCTATGTCTACAGCTTATTAGGCCTGGAACCCTGAACAACTTGTACAATGAGTCTTAGCTTTCTTCTCTTACTCTGTGAAGGGGAGAGTATCTAACAGGGTATTGTGAGAAACAAATAAAATACTTACTGCAGCCCATATTCTTTCAAGTGCTCAATAAATAAGTGCTGGATACCGTAAGTCACAGCAGTTCCTGTAACCTTGTCCCACTCTCGTCTCTACCAACAGCCCCTCCTTAACAGCCAGTTCCCTAGGGTCCCCTCATAGCTCACAGTCAAGGCCATAGGCATCTCATTTACATTTCCTTCTCTCTGATTCTCTTACAGTCTATGGATGGCCAAGTGACTTGCACAATCAAAGCAGCTCTGAAATCAGAGGTGCTTTGTCAGACTTGGTGTAGGAAACAGAATTTTTAATTATTGAATGTATTTATATCCTACCCCAACCGCCCCAAAATCGTTGGATTTGTTAAAAGTGCATAAAACACAGTGGTGAAAATAAATAGGTGAGGGGGATCCAAGGACAGGAAGAATACAGCCAGGAAAACAGAAAGGCCAGCCATAAGATTTTGCCAAATCATGTTCCAGGGATGATCAGGACAGAGTGCACAAATCTGGTTATCATCGACATCCTATCACTGAGAGAAAACAGGAACAGTGCAGCATTCGTATATACTGACCTATGTCTTATACCATGTCACTGTTGACACAGACAAGAAACTGAGGCTCTGGTGGGTTAATTACATGGCCCAGAGCTCACTGTGGCAGCACTGAGATTTCAGCCCTGGTGGCCTGGGTTCACGGCCATGCTTCAGGATGAAGCCATACCGTTCAGGTACACACAGATGAGGGTAAATCTTCAGTGCAGGGGAAGCCACATCCTCACTCTGAAATCTCAGTCCTAGGGAAGACAAAACAGTCTAACACAGCACAAGAGCTTCCAGATTTAGGGATTTCCTAGATTAGCTAAATTGTATTTTTAAAAGGTGGACGTGGAAGAATATGATGTCCAGCCACTTCATTTTTGTTTGTATGTTCCAAGAACATTGAAACAACAGTAACTACCAGGGAGTGTCGACACCATTTCTAAAATAAGTGGCCTTGTGCCCCCAAACAGACAGAAGGTCAGAATCAGATAGAGGACGTTGGTGTTGAAGTGAGTGTGAGTTCAGCTTTGTGACCAATGTACACCATCCACCCAGTTCACGCTGCCCCTCTGCTTGGTGCACAGTAGTTGGAGACTGTCAGTGCTGCACAGCCCCGCACTGGAAATTCACTGACACGGGACAGCACCCAGGACCTAACACAGCCGAGACTCCACCCTCCTCGCTGTATCCAGGAAGGTTTCACAGTCAGCCCCTGAAGAAGGGGCTGGGCGGAAGCCTTCAGAGCATGGTTTCACAAAGGATGTGCACACTGTTCAGAGACACAATGATGCCCCTTCAGCGGCCAAGACACACCACAGCAGCCCTTGTGGTACAGCCATCATTTTAGTCATTTTTGTGAGAGGTAGACAGGCAGACAGAGCTCCTATCCACTGGTCACAACAGTCAGGGTAGGGCCAGGCTGGAACCAAGAGCCAGAAACTCGATTTCCTACATGGGTGGCAAGGACTCAACTATTCGAGCCATCACCTGCCACTGCCGGGGTTGGTGTTAGCAGGAAGCTGGAATAACAAGCCAGAGAACAAAATTCAAGTTCTCTGGTATGGAACATGAGCACTTCATTGCTAAACTAAATGCCCTCCTCTATTTTTTTCAGTCTTGAATGAAACTATTAACTGTTAGTTTAAAATGCAAGTAAGATAGGCAATAGAAATGGCTCGAGTACATGGGTTCCTGCCATCCATGTGGGAGACCTGGACTGAGACCCAGCTTCTGGCTTCAGCTCAGCCCAGTCCAGCCCTGGCTGCTACAGGCATTTAGGGAGCAAACCACTGGGTGGGAGTGGATTCCTTCTCTTTTTCTCTCTCTCTCTCTTTCTCTGCCCTCCCCTTGTCTCCCTCTCTCCCTCTCTCTCTCTCTTCAAGGCACAGATACCTCTCAAATAAATTAAAAATTCTTATGCAGAACATGAAATGCATAAAGATGAATACCAGGAATGTTATTAGGTTTTCCAGGAGCTAACACACAGGCAGTCTTTTTCTGTTTTGTTTGGGAAAGAATTTGAGTTGCTTATAAATTTATGCTGAAACCCACTGGATGCTTTCAGAGGCTGAAGCAAGCAACTCCACACATTCAGGGAGTTTATTTACAATACCTGTTGTTCCTATATTTCCATTAGAATGCAATTACCCTGCTGGGGAAAAAATAAAGGTCACTGGGCTAATGGAACTCACCTTTCTTTTTTAGTCTATAAATAATAAATCAAATATAATATTTAAACTGAAAACCACATCCTATATCTCACTGTGTTTCTGATGCTTTTTTCAAGGATCTCTGAGTATATGGCACTCACTATGGTCATAATAGTGGCAGTCCATCAAATTCTCTTAGCACCGCCTCAGTGAAGAAGTACACAGCATACACCCATTACGTTGATATTCATCAATACTGAAATATCTGAGAAATTTCTCATGATTATTTCAAATTAGATTACTGTACATTCTACTCTATACTTGAGGAGCACACCACAGAATGATTTATATACAGAAAAATCTCATGATCTTATAAGTATTGATAAAGGTAACCACTTTAAAAAATTCTAATCAAATACAAATTCAAGAACATTTTTCCCAGAGTAGACTCCTAACGGTACACATGACCACACTGATAAGGATAATAAACATCTCCAGGCAAGGTTCTGCTGCCACTGATTTCTCTGATGGAAAAAGCAGAGACTTTGCTGCCAGCCTAATAGCTGAATAGGGCTCTCAGGCCAAAAGTGTCTAATCAATGCTCTCCCTTCAGTCTCCCCAAGGGACCGCCTAAGCAATCACTCCAGTCCCTGGCACGTCAAGCTTTATAAGGCAGAGAAGGGAAGTAGGGCTTAAATAGCTTCAGAAAGCCATTTGTCTTGAATAATAAAAAAAAAAAACAGAGTAGCTGCTGTCAGCACAGGATCACGATCTTCAAACAGGCTGCACCTCTCATGAGATTCATATGATAAGTATTTTTAAATAAAAAGAGCATTAGAACCCTCCCCTGAGCCGGATATAAAAATTGTTAAACACTCCTAATCACTGCCCCAAAATAATAAAAATGACAAGCTCTACTTCCCCCGACACAGGCTGTGTTACAAAATGCACTGTGATCTCCAAACACGGGAATCACACGCAGCCCCCGCCCCTCTTGAGGAGGGGTTAAGCAGCAAGTATGAGGATACTCTAAAAGCTTCGTGGAAAATGGAATTAAGAGGTAAGTTTATTTTGGTGCAAAAAAACTTTAAGTTTATGCACAGCTTTTTTCATATTATGCATTTTCCAAGAATATTTTGAAGACCCTCTCATAGTCACTTGATTTTTTTTTATTTCAAGAGTACGTTTGCTACCAATAGCAGATAATTTTTGTTTTATTATAATTAACAACAATTCCTACTATTTATTCAGTTTTGTTCTGCCAGATACTGATCTAACAGATACAACTTAACCCTTGACAACATCTTGTGTTCAGATGCAATTTGTTATCTGATTAAGACTGCTGATCTGGGCTGGCACTGTGGCATAGCAGGCTAAGCCTCTCTCTGTAGCACCAGAATCCCATACAGGTGCCGGTTTGTGTCCCCGCTGCTCCTTTTCCAATCCAGCTCCCTGCTTTGGCCTGGGAGGGCAGTGGAAGATGGCCCAAGTGCTTGGGCCCCTGCACCCACGTGGGAGACCCAGAGGAAGCTCCTGGCTCCTGGTTTCGGATCAGCCCATCTCCGGCCATTGTGGCCAATTGGGGAGTGAACCAGAGGATGGAAGACCTTTCCCTCTGTCTCTCCCTTTCTCTGTCTGTAACTCTACCTCTCAAACAAATAAATAAAATCTTTAAAGAAAAAAAAAAAGACTGCTGATCTATCAGCACAAAGCATCGAGACTCAACATTATTTATTCCATAGACACAATTTCATTAGGATTCCTTCTCAATGTAAATATTTTTGGCTTTGAAATGTATCTAGGTTTCCCAAAAAGGTTTACTTAACATAGTAAATGCTTTCAGGAATATCATCAGATACTTACTTCTTTATTTATCACCAGAAGCATTACATCTGTTTCACATACAACTGAAGTATGTCGCCTGGCATTAGTCAAAAGGCAGATTTCCTGAAAAATAAAAACAAATGTACCACTTCTAGAATTATCTCAATTCTGGTGTTGTTCTGATAATGAAGCCCTGGAAAACTTAGAGGTTATAAGTTTGCAGCATTTTAAGCACATTATTTTTTAAAATTAATCATAAAGGGGCAGATACTTGGCACAGCAGTTAAGACGCCACTTAGCTGAGGCTGACCCTGTGGAGTAGCGGGTAAAGCTGCCTCCTACAGTGCAGGCATCGAGTCCCGGCTGGTTCGAGCCCCGGCTGTTCCACTTCCCATCCAGCTCTATGCTATGGTCTGGAAAAGCAGTAGAAGATGATCCAACTTCTTGGGTCCTTGCAGGTGCAGGTTTGATTTTAAAAAACTGTTAGAAATACATGGCTTTTTTCTTCTTTGCCTTTCTCATTGAATGTGTTACCAATAAGACATCTGGAACCCATCTCTCATTTGTCGCCACTCTGGCCAGTGCCTTGGTCCAGTGTCCCTTGATCAGACCCCAGTCTGTCTGTTTCAGCCTCCACATCACTACCAGCTGTCTAGCGAAATTTTAATCTGATCAACTTCACCTTCTTAGGAACCCTTGGTGCCAGACTCTTTAGCAGGTTTTCTAATAGTATATCTTATTTCAACTGACATTTGCACAATGCACCCTAGCAAGTGCCCCCACTCCTCAGATCTGTCTACTCAGGGACTTTGGGGTTCTAGGATCTTCAAACCCAATGTGGCCATGACTAATCATGAAAGTGAAACACGTTTCATTCTTACCTGTAGGCTGCTCTCCAAGCTTGAATTTTATCCCCTCTACATAAAATCTTTGGCAAGCATAGATTTTCTTTAAAGAACCAAAAATAGCTCTTTGAATCCATGACTGTTAGGTACCCTTTGCTACTTAATACTGCCAAAGTCACAGTTTCTAATGCATTTAGCTGGCCAATCACTCATCTAACAATCATTTAGAATCTTACTCTTGTATGTTGACAAACTACATCTTAGGCTACATGTTAGCTCTACACTGAAAAGAAGAACATGTTTTTTCCAAGCATTCCAATTATTGAAATATTTAATACTTGAGGACACATATTATATTAACACACAGATTACATAATTTACATAATTTTAAATTTTTTAAATGAAAAACGACTGAGAAATTGAGACAACACTTACCCCTATGAAGTCACCTTCTTCAAACTCACTTAGAATTTCAGAGTTGGAGCTTTTATTCTCGCTTGTGTTACTCGACACACTCTTTAAATGTCCAGCAAGAACCAAGCAGCATTCAAGGGGGACATGTCCTTGTCTCAGAACCACACTCTCAGCTTCATACCTGCAGAGAAGGAATAGCAAAACATTTCTCCTGCAAATAGCTAGTCTGGAATCACTGGGGAGAAACAAAACAGAAAACCGAACCCGCCACCTTCATCTGTAAAGAAATTCGCTCTGGTTCAGCAGCCGTTGTCATCATCTGCCGCAGACCCTGAAGGCAGGCATCTCAGTCGCCTTACCCACTGCTGCAGCATCAGTGCCCCAGGTGGTGCCCGCATCACAGAGTCGGCACCCAACATACACAAACTGAGCGAATTAACGAACAGGCAGAAGGCGGCATGCACAGCCTCAGGACAGAGGGTCTCCACACAGTGAGTTCCAGGGAGCCCTGCTATTTCACAACATACAGGCATTTCCTAAACCACCACTGCTGAACTCTGGGTGTCAGACAACAGTCCTAGCTTTCTGCGAGACAACTGCCATCCTTTCACAAAGACTTTTCTAAAAGTCCTATATTCAGGGAAGGGTCTGTAAACCTGCCCCCTCCTCTGTCAAGAGATACTTAGCCAGAGGTGGTAGTCAGCCCACCCTTGGTTTATAGAAACAGTCTATTCCTGGCATTAATGCATGGTAAATTTTAATGGACAAAAAGGTCTCTTGGGGCATTTCATAAAAAGACACAGGACTGGGGCTAGCACTGTGGCACAGCAATTTAAGCCACTGCCTATGATGCTGGTATCCCATAGAATCATGAGTTCAAGTCCTGGATGCTCCACTTCCAACCTATCTCCCTGCTAAAATACCTGGGAAAGCAGCAGATAGCCCAAGTGCCTGGGCCCCTGTACCTAGGTGGGAGACCTGGATGGAGTTGCTGGTTAATGGCTTCAGCCTGCCTGGACTCAGCCACTGCAGCCATTTGGGGAGTAAACCAACAGATGAAAGATTTCTCCTGCTCTCTCTCTCTCCCCCTCCCTCCTTGTCTCTCCCGCTGTAACTCTGCCTTTCAAATAAATAATATAAAATAAATTTTTTTAAAATGACACAGGATTTCCTTGCATCCTGGAAATTCTTACAAGGTAGATCTGGAATACAGCCCAGGAAACTATATTTGGTTCTCCAGCTGAGTTTGAAGAGGATCATTTTGAGAAACACCATGTCTGAGGCTAAGAGCAAACATTAACTTTATTGTTCTTATATAAGTATTAATTTCTGTGAAGACTGGAACAGAACATACTCTATTAAAATATTGGGAAGTCTATATGCTTTCAGATTTTCAGTTTGTAATAATTTCCCAGAATCCTTTCTTACCAGAACAGTAATTATAATTTCTATATTCCAAATTAAGCAGGTGTCATAGCAGAGAATGTTACTGAGAAGGAAGATGGCATTGTTATGTAGTAAAGACACTCTTATTCCTGCATCACCAGTAGGAAGTCCTAAATTCCAGCATTGGATCTGCTATGAATTAGCGAAATGAACTTGAGAAAAATCACTTAACCTCTACTTCCAATTCTTCATTTAAAAATATGAATAAATCTGTATCTACATACTTCACAATGACATTTTATAGGGAAACAAACATAAAATAGTTATTTAAATTCTTCAAAAAGAAGATATTTTATAAATAAAATATTGGGATATTTCCCTACTTTGGTAGGGAAGAAGATATTTTATTAAATAAAAAGAAAATATTTTATAAATAAAGTGTTTAAACCTACTTTAGTAAGTTTGAAAATATGAAGGAGAGTTAGAAGGAGGAAATCACCAACAAAAATTAAAAGATAATTAGGGGGCTGGCACTGTGGCGTGGCAGGTAAGGCCGCCACCTGCAGAGCCAGCATCCCATGGGTGCCGGTTTGAGTCCCAGCTGCTCCACTTCCGATCCAGCTCTCTGCTATGGCCTGGGAAGGCAGTAGAAGATGGCTCAAGGCCTTGGGCCCCTGCACCCGCATGGGAGACCCCGAAGAAGTTCCTGGCTCCTGGCTTCAGATAGGCGCAGCTCTGGCCGTTGTGGCCATTTGGGGAGTGAACCAGCGGATGGAACACCTCTCTCTCTCTCTTCTTCTCTCTGTGTAACTCTGACTTTCAAATAAATAAATAAATCTTTTTAAAAAAAGCTAATTAGTTAGCCTGCCACAGTTCCATGGATGCTGACAGAAGGCACTACATTCCAGAGCCAGCAACAAAGTACCTTGTTAGCCAAAAAAAGAATAGGAGGATAAACATTGTGGGGAGCAACTCGGACTAGACTGTTACTGGAATTAAGACTTATTCTATGCATCTGCTCTCCCACAATATGGCGCTGAGAAGGGAGTAAACAACTTCTACGCAGCTGCCTCCAGTTCAACCAATAACCTGCAGGAGCTGATCCTGCTCCTGATTGGAGGAGAGCAGCATACTCGGCGTGTGGGTAGCAGAGTTGGGATTGGTGGAAGAGGACTATAAAGGAGGAGAGAGACAACATGCACCAGGAACATCTAAGGGGAACATCCGGATAACATCTGGATAACATCTGAGCAGCCCCCGAGAGAGCCAGCCGGCAGTGTGCCGCTCCCCCGCGGAAGTGGGGAAAGTGGCAGGGGGGCCCGCCCCTCCACGGAGGTGGAGGGATGGCAGCCAACCCGGGAAGAACCAGCAGCAAACCCGGGAAGGGCCAAGCAGACAAAAGAACAGCGCAGGGTCCTGTGTCGTTCCTCCACGAAGAGGGGGAGCGACAAACATGGTTGCATGGGTTCCCCAAGTCCCAAGTCCCATAGGACAATGTGAAAATCTCCATGGAGTGAGGCGAGAATGAGTTGCAATGGAGGAACCTGAGTCTAGCGAATCTACTACTTTTATAACAAGCAGTGGGCAAGGCTTTTGTTGATTTGAAAGGAGCCCAGATGCAGTACAAGAACTACAATGCACTATCACCTCAGAACTATCAGGTGCATGAACAATCCTGAGAAGTGGCCCAAGTATAAGAACAAGCAAAACCCTAGAACTTTTGGCACATGTAGAAAGACACGTAAGTGAACAAGAGGCCCATAGTAGACTGTTTGTCAACATACAGGCGCAATAATGCAACTGAATAAAAATTTAACATAAGGTTACACGGTTACTTAAACTATGACTCCCTAAAAATCCTTTATCCTATGGAAAAAGATGCAAGCAGATCTTTATAACGCTATTTTCACTGCTATTTGGAAAGAGGATCACAAGGTGAGAATGTGAAAATTGTAGAAAGTAGGTCAGTCAAGATAGCAGAACAGGGAAAGGAATACTGCTCTATGCTAGGGGAAAACAGCAGCAAAGAACTGGAGGAAGTGCATTTCTAGGGGGAGCTGGAGAGAAATCTGCAGTGAAAATGCTACAGAAGGAAGCAGGAAGCCGTGGATCAGTGTGGAAGGTGTAGACACGCAGCAGTGAGCTTGGACACAACACAAAAGCCCCACAGCCGAGAGCTAGAGGAAGTGCCAGTTGTGTAGAGTGAAGTGAGGCCAGACTGCAGCAGCCTGTGCCACTGACAACACAGCTGGAGGGAGAGCCTGGCGAAGTACACTGTCTTCGAGTCTGGCCTGGAGCCCTAAAGGGGACAGGGTACCAGCCTAATCAGCTAAAAAAGGAAACATTTCTTTCTCCACATGCCCCCAACAATGGTGCCTGACAACCAGCGGGGAGAGGGCGTGATTTTGACATTAGTAGCAGCTGTCAGCTCTTCTGCGGGCACCCAGGGACTGGTAGGGACAGGCACCATCCTGACAACAGTAGCAGCTGTGGCAGTGCAGCTGTGCACACCGGACAACAGGCAGGGAGAAGCCGCCATTTTGAAATCAGTAGCAGCTGTGGTGGCTCTTACGCATGCGTATGATCCAGGGATTTGACCAGAGGGAAAAATCCACATTCCCCATTGACTGAGTCAGGATGGGAAGACTTACGTGGGGCTGGGCACGCAGTTAGGACTGTGAGGTGCCCCCAGCCTCTCAACATATCGCAGGCTCCAGGGCTCAAACGCCAAGGCGGAGTACCTATGTTGTGGGCTAGGTTGGGCCTCAATTTCTATTCCAGACTCTTGCCTTTTACTCAGAGAAGCATCTTAAGTACAAGCACAAACACGACAAAGTTTATTCACAAAATGAGGAAAATACACACGCACTTGTGGGTTTCATTTAGGGAGAGTGGGCCAGGAAAGGTCAAGAGAGACTCTGAGATCCTGCTTGCTCTGAGTCCACGAGGAGAGAGGCAGCTTTCACTTTACCTGGCTTCTTATGAGCTTAGAATGGAAGTGTTTACATGGTACCGCCCCCAAGTCCTGGGTAAGGGAACTACTTCCCAGGGAAGGGGTCATCTGATTGACAGGTGGGTGGATATGAGCACAAGGAGCAGGGAGGTGGGGCTTCCAACATATGAACTTAATCTAGCTACCTGACTTGTCCCATATCATCTCCAGGCAGCTGGTTCCGGGAACATCTCTGACTCTCTGTGGATGGGATAGGCTAGTGGAGTAGAGTGGATCCTCTGTACCCTGTGACTGTAGGAGCATTGTGCGCTCAGATGGTAGGAACACTGTGACTGCACAATAGGGCACAAGGGATAGCTGGATCCCTGGGCAATCACTGTGGGTGGTGCCAAAGGCTCAGACCTCCCTGGTTGCATGGGGTGAGTCATTGTACCGGGATCCGTGTTCACATGAGGACTGCACAGACCCTTTGTGCAGTTCAAGTGGCAGTGCAGGTGAGTGTTGCAACCACTACAGGCTAACCAAGGGCATCGATCACCTTGGAAGACAAGAGGTAAGTGTGTGATTACACCAACAGAGGTGATCATACCCTCTTCCCTGCCGATAATAGAGGTGATCTACCACACCCAATTTGGGTGTCATTGTGGATACTTGCCCCACCCTGCAGCACTGACCAGAGTTCCATGGCCACACCCAGCACAAGCCTCTGGGTATTCACTGAAAGAGCAGACACTCCACTAAGCCACAGAGGAATACTTAATGATAAAATCCATCAGAGGAGAAAACGAACAAATATTTCTAGAAATGCCTAAAAATAAACACAGAAATTTAAGATATAAGAA